GATGTGGGACCAGCAGAGGAGCCGACAGAGCCAGGCCGGGACACGCCCCCTTCCAGGCCCCTGGGCCCTGCCCGCCCTTGGCTAACCCCAGGAATACCTCTAACGTGATTCTGCCGTCCCCTAATGCCAATCCTCAGAACCTGTGATCAAAAGCCCAGAAAGAACCCTGAGAAACTGCTCTGGGCTTGCAGCTCCGTAACACACGGGAGGTGGAAATTGGACCGCTCACCCCATCCAAGAGCATTCCTAGGGGCTAGACATGTTTAACAATGACACTCCTCGACCTTTGAGCTGCCTTAGCGCCCTCTGCAATCTACAAAGCATTTTTCATAAATAATCACATTTATTCACAATCCATTAATTGCTAATTATTGGGGCCTCCCCTTAACAGGACCTACAGTTTCAAAAGTGGAGATAAAGCTTCTGATCATGGGTCCAAGAACTCAGTCTGGCTGTTTACTCCTCGGCTCAGAAACTAGTGTCGAAACCAGGAATTGGGCCCTAGAAAGTTTGTTTTTATTTGGGAGGGAAGCCGAGGGAGGCTAACTAGCCTGGCTCAGACAAGTAAGTATGCAGACAAATCAGAGGTTAGAAAACTTCTGAAAATTTCCCAGAGCATAAGTTTGGTGGCCTTGGGCCAGCAAGACCCATATCTCTACCTGGGGACAGTAGGATTAGGTAGTGGATTGACTCATGTGAGGGAAGGTATGGGGAGAGTGCCTTCCTCCTCCTGTGACCAGAACTGTGAATGCTGCTCCCTGACCAGACTTCACAGTCTCCTCCCTTTGCTCTCCAGTGGTCCCCACAGCTCACTTCTGGTGAGGTGAGGAGGTGGGCAGGGACACAATCCCTTCCCTGGCAAGAGGGCTCACTGTGGCCCAGGCAAGCTCCCTCCCTGGCCCTGTGAGGCTGAGTTTGTTTACCTCTCAGCAGTGTGGTGGCAGCCAGGCCCACGGGAGCATGGGCTTCCAAGCCATGAGGCTCCTGGGATGCCCAGCCTACCAACAAAGCCCCGGGGACCCTGCCAGAAAAACAGACTGTTCCATCCAAGCACAGAGGGAAGGGGAGGCTCCTCATAGGGCTGAGAGAGTTAGGGACTTACAGTTGTCCTCTTTCTCTTACTGGGAGGGGAAGGGATGGGGGCATCACAGACCCACGAGCTTCCTTCCCCACCAGTGGAGTCGAAAGGAGGGCTCCTGATAGGGGCATCAGAAAGGAGGGTGGGGGCTGCCAGGGGTCCCACCTCTATGGGAGCTGGGCCAGCTTGCCAGCGATGCCTGGGAGCACCTCTGATTCTTTAGCACTCTCTCTGGGTCACTATCCCCTACAACATGTGTCAAGAATGACTAGGGTACCCATCAGGGTTCCTCCAGAGCTAGGACCCAGAAAAGCAGCAGAGTTCTGCCCTGTCAGGTGACCTTAACGTGACATCTATCCCAGTTTAAGATGGGATAAGGTCCCACGGGAAGAAGTCAGCTTGTGGTCACCTTCCCAGACTTCACTGCCCCACGGCCCCTCCAGCTTTGATCTGTGTCAAGCTCTTCATTATTCTAAGCTGCTGAGCTCAGCCCTGGGTTAGGCTGTCCATTTCCAGAGACTTAATCCACCCCATCCCCTCCTCCCTCTTTCTGCCATCCCCAGCGTCCCCAGCTGCTTCCTCCGTGGGGAGGAGACACCGAGACAACCACTGAGCTTCCTCAGCCCAAGAAACAGGGGACTGTTGGTCCCCTGAGACTCCCCACCTGATAGGTTCAAGGGGAAGGGAGCAGGTCTGAGCCCCTTTCTCAGCAGAACAGGGCAATAGGACCCACAGGGTACTAAGGTCCAGGCAGGGAGCCCAGAAGTCTCCACCTGGTCTAGGGATGTTTGAAGGAACAAGGTTTCAGAACACTTAGGAGACGAAAGGTAAAGGCAGGGGCTACAGTTCACCTGAGTTGGAGCTGGACAGCAGTTACACTGGACTCAAACCTAGAACTTCTCACTGAACCCCACCTCTCCCCACATCTCTGGGTTGCTGAAGCAGACTGAGGTCTAGCCAGCAGGTTTGAATCTCACTCATTACACCACCTGGTTGGGGCTCAGGATTTATACTGGTTCTTTTGAGACTAATGGGGGGGCATGCATGGCCCCTTGCTGCAGCAGTGTAATCTGGAGAAGGGATGCAGCTGAGTGCCCTGGGCTGAACTCTCAAATGATGCCTTTTAAATGAGATACATTTTTTTTTTTTTTTTTTTTTTTTTTTTT